ATTTTGACAAATAAGTGCAAAACTCAAATTTTATTTCAAAAAATAATTTTATTCCTTTAAAATTATAAAATTGCCACTAATCTTTACTACTACTTTATAAATTCATTAAAAGCTGAATAAAAATCAGGAACAAAACATTTTTTATTTCCAATAAAATAAAATAATCTTTCTTTGTTGGAAAATTGAACTGCCGTCCAAGGGCAGCCATAGACTCAGCTTTCAATTTGTAATTGAAATTAAAAAGTGGAGTTGAAAATAAAAAATGTCCAATCAGAATCGGCCACGTACAACGGTGATTTAACTTATTTATAAAAGACGGCTTCACGGCATTGGACTTGTCGCGAAGGAGGAGCGACGACCAGGTAGCCCGGAAGATAGTCCCGTTACCTATTTTATTTATTTAATTAATTAATTTGTTGACGACAGGTAGTTGCATTGTTAAAATTAAATTAAATAAATAATTTATGAAATTTGAAGTTTGATGATCTGTGCTTTGACGTCCACTCCAAGCTTGGAACGACAGCGATCTATTACTCACTGCAACTTCCCCTTTCTTTCTCTGTTCTCCCTCGTTTTCTTCTTCTTCTTCTTCTTCTTCTTCTTCTTCTTCAACCTCTCTAATTTGTTATTTTCTCTGCATTTCACTCCGCCAGGACTTTCCTCTTTACATTTTCAAGGTAAACTTGCTGTGTCTCTGTACTTTTTCTTTATACGTTCTTCTCCGATTGAGTGTTGAGGTTCTCAGTGCTTCTTCTATGGAACGATACATTGTTTTTGGATCTCGTTGTGTTTTCCGTCGCCGGAATTTCCTACTTGAACAACGCGCTGTTTTGCTTTTTCTACTTACTTTCCTCTTTGTCTTGCTTTTTTGTTTTGTACTTGTTTCAATTTGGAGAAATTGTACCTGGTGAAGTGCGGATGAATTGTTTGTTGTTTCTGTTCAGTCTTCCGTTTCCTTTCTGCTACACTTACTAATTCTATTTGAGTGTAGCGTTTTTTATTTTCTTTTTGAGAAAATGTTTTGTTGCGATTTACGCGGGATGTGAGTTCGGATTATTTATGTTGGCATTATTTGCAGAAATTGGCTGCACTATTCTCTTGTGCATTGAGTTAGTATTGATTCGATATTCTGCAATTAATGCATGTCGAAACTCTTATTTAAACTATATCCACCATTTTTTCCGAGGGATATCTGTTCTTTATTATCAATTCTTTCCTGTAAATATGTTTTCAGAATTAGTCTCGAGGAACAACGTTTCAAGCTATTGCCACTTTAGTTTCGTTTATGCTTTATGATGGTGGAGTTTGGGCTTAGAGCTTTTGCCTATTAGCAATTGTTCGGTCGCCGGAATGAAGAAAAGTTATGGACGGGTTCTGGTTGCATCCTTTTGTATGTTGCTGTTGATGGTTTATGTTATCTCGAGAAGTTCAACTCGGAAAAATTATTATGCAACTCGCTCGTTCAATTCCGTTGATCCTCTTCAGTGGCTCAATCCTGCAGTTCCATCTGTAGTTCAAAATCCTGAAATTGCTTATCAAGTGATTACTGCCGACTCCATAATATCCAGTCTCTTCACTCAGGGAAATTTTACTAATGAAGAGAGACAATATCTTCAGACTTGGAATCATTTAAGAAGCATTACTAATTATACCCGAGGGTTGCCTAATGCAGTAGAGGCCATCAAGGAAGCAGGAGCTGTATGGAACAATCTCAAGACTTCGATCGAAAAGGAAAGGCTTGGTTCTACAAATGAAAGTGCACGTGCAAAAGAGAAGCAATGCCCTCATTTTCTGACCAAAATGAATTCTACGAAACTTGACAACAATGGCCATAACCTAAGAATGCCTTGTGGCCTTACTCAGGGTTCTTCCATCACAATCATTGGAATTCCAGATGGTCTTCTTGGTAACTTTCAAATTGACTTGACAGGGGAACCACTGCCTGGGGAGCCTGATCCATCCATCATTTTGCATTATAATGTTAGGCTTTTGGGAGATAAGTTAACTGAGGATCCTGTAATTGTCCAGAACACCTGGACAGTTTCTCAAGATTGGGGAGAAGAAGAGCGATGTCCATCCTCTGTGTCTGACGACAATGGAAAAGGTATAGATGTCTATCACATTTCCTTTAAATAATTCCATGCATGCCCACTAATGTAAAATAACTAATTTAGTCAATTTTCTGTATTTAAAATATGGAGTCTCGATTGAAATCTGTTGATTCTATTTATGAACAATTCAAGTTTGCTTACAAATGATCTCACCTTGAAACTTTGTTACAAAACAGGCCATATGTGCAATATTGTAGTATGGCTTGCTGATGGGAGAATTAGTACAACGTCCACTCGAACTACCTAATGTGTTTCATAATTGGTTTATCAATGGCCTGGGAAATTGGGAACGTAGCATCCACTAACTTCGTAACATTAAAATGAACACATATCTTTCTGCCTCCCTTAACTGAGCATTGTTTCCATTCACTTTGAAATTAATGTTGTTGATTTTATATGCTAGTGGATGAATTGGAAAAATGCAACAAGATAGTAGGTAATGTCGAAACTCGACTTTCTGAATTGAACAAGAATTTCAACAAATCAAAATCTACGGTGCAAGGAGCTAAAGCAAAACCATACTTCCCCTTCAAACTCGGGCATCCATTTGCTGCTACACTTAGAGTTGGAGTAGATGGAATCCAGACGACAGTCGATGGAAAGCATGTTACATCTTTTGCTTACCGTGAAGTAATGTCACCCATTCTTGTATTAATTGTCTTTACATTGATCTCTGAACGATCAATCTTATGCTGTTTTGGCTTGCTTCTTATTCAGACTTTGGAGCCATGGCTAGTCAGTGAAGTAAAGATTTCAGGAGACTTGAAATTAATTTCTGTCCTGGCAAGTGGTTTGCCCACATCCGAGGATTCAGATCATATTGTTAATATAGAAGCATTGAAATCAATTGCCCTCTCTCCGGATAGACCATTAGATCTTTTCATTGGTGTTTTCTCCACAGCAAACAATTTTAAGTACCGAATGGCCGTTCGTAGAACGTGGATGCAGTATCCTGAAGTACGGTCAGGGTCTGTTGCAGTCCGCTTTTTTGTTGGGTTGGTGAGCTTCGCATATACTCTTCTTCGACTGAAAAGAACTTTGCCTCTTTAGGCTACCTATTCATTTTGAACCTGGTGGTTTCATAAGATAGTCAAGCTATTTTCGCATGAACCTCATAGTTTACTTCCAATGTTTATCTTTGAGCCTCATGGCCACTTCTAAGTCTGCTCACAGAGTGAAAGTGAGTGAGGTGTTTCATAAGATCGGCTACACTATTTCAAAATTTCATTATTAGAATACTTGAAACGGAATGATTCATCAGTTGTTCGTATGAAATTCTTCCATGCTTATGTTTCTTTCATCATCTACCTCTTAAAATTCCTATATTATGAATAAATTTCAGTGCTTTACAATCAGTTTGCATCATTTGCGTTTTACAGCATAAGAACCAAATAGTCAATGAGGAAGTGTGGGATGAGGCCCGAACATATGGTGACATACAGATGATGCCTTTTGTTGACTACTACAGCCTTATTACATGGAAAACGTTGGGTATCTGCATCTTTGGGGTAAAGATTCGTTCTTGAACTGAATGATGTGAGTTTAGCATTATGATTTAATCTCACCATTCCGGCAGGCAGAAATTGCTTCAGCAAAGTATATCATGAAGACAGATGATGATGCCTTTGTTCGAGTGGATGAAGTTTTAGCTTCTTTAAACAGGATCAATGCACAAAGTGGATTGCTTTATGGACTCATCAACTCAGATTCTCAACCTCACAGAGACCCTGATAGCAAGTGGTACATTGGTACGGAGGTAATTTTCATCTCTGGTTTTTACTTATACGGGCAAAGGATCTAACATTGCGTGGATAACCCAAGGCTAAATATTCATTTCTATTTTCTTTCACTTTTATGGGTCTTATCTCTCCTCTGCTTTACTGAAATATCTGATTTGCAATATGAAAAGAACTACCCTGAAAGAAACGCTAACAGGCGAGCATTTGTTCCCCCACGTTTGAGTTTGTCTACTTTGAATTTGGCCGATTTTTCTGTTAAAAAAGAGTTTGTCGAATGTGGAATAATGTTCGCATTTTTCAACAAGCTTGCTCAGAATTTGGGTTCCATTGGCCTATGTAGCGCATACTCGATCAATTTAATAAAAGCAAATAAGTTCTTTTATACCATTTTATATTCATTAATTGCTCCATTGTAGGAATGGCCCGAAGAGAATTATCCAACATGGGCCCATGGTCCTGGGTATGTAGTGTCTAGTGACATAGCTAAGACGATATCCAAAAAGTACAAAGAAGGCAGCTTAAAGGTATCTGTTATTTCTTTGCTCGAAGAAGGTATTATTCCATAAATGATATTCTAAATCAGGATGTTATATCCTCAGATGTTTAAATTAGAAGATGTAGCCATGGGAATCTGGATAGAAAACATGAAGAGAGAGGGCCTTGATATTCGTTACGAGAAGGACGAGAGAATTCATATTGAAGGCTGTAAGTATAATTATGTGGTTGCTCACTATCAGGGACCTCAGGAGATGCTCTGCTTGTGGCAAAAACTTCAGGAAGGAAATGGTGTTAGATGCTGTGGTCCTGATAACTAAGATGACTTGTGTTCTAAGCAGCCTGGAAATTGAGTAACCATGCTGACGATCACAAACCAGATAGACTAAACAACCATACCAGGATTGATTCCCCTGAAAGAGAAGAGGTAACATGAGGAATTTTACACCCTCTTAACAATTGCTGTATAATTAGGTGTTACTGTAGAGAAGAATATTTAGTATAGAGTTGCTTGAAATTTTGAACATTTCAAGTAACCGAGGGAGATGTTAGAATGAGCGTTGTAGCCTGCACAGTTAGTATATAGTACCAATAGGTGATCAATTGAATTTTACCACATCATGCATAATCACAATTCGATTTCAGTGATGTTTGTGCTGAAAATGGTTTCTGTTAAATTTGATCAACGATAGATTTCTATCGAGTATCTCGGAGTTTTATTGTCCAAACGATAATTCACTCACCGGCGTGACAGCTTGGCTTTTAACAAGAGATACACAGCAGACTTTGTTATTATAACAGGCATTTACATTTACAACTTGGCTTAGTTCTTGGCATATATCTATCGTTGCAAGAACCCATAGCCCGAAATTGCAATTTCAAAGGCTTGCATTTTCTCTCCACGAGCAAATCCATTTCGATCGTAAGATGATATTTCGTGTATGTTCAAGTCTTCACATGCCTTCACAAGTTCTTCACCAACATGCTGAGCAGCTTCCTGTAATCGCCAAACCAACAAAAAAGCAATCAGACCCTTTTGTAGTTTGTTAACAGGACTTTTGAGGAAGACTTACGATGGTGGTGCATGAGGGACTTGGACGCATAGATTTCTGTAAGGTGCTTCCATAAAACAGGCACTTCTTGTTCTGGTCGTCAACCAGCATTGCATACAACTGCTTATCAGAACAGAATACTGAAAGCCTTGGTTTTGTAGAGCTGCCATTATACTGCTTGGCGTTGAAAACCATCAAATGTTTTAGAAACTAAAAGAGTTCCAATGTTAGTATAAATGTATTTTGTGCATACCTTTTTCTGGAACCTCCTGTTTCTAACTTTTGCACTTTCTGTTTTAGAGTTTCCTCTTGCTTGGATCATCAACGGCTTCACATCGCAATCTACATGGAATGCAAGAACTCGTTATAAAACAAAATCCATCTGGTTCCAGTAATTGGTATAATAGATATATGCCAGTTTGTGTCCAACATCGTCCAAGATCAGAACCATAGATTATCATACAGATTAGGAGCTAATGCACGTATTGATTCACTTACGTCTACGTTTCAAGCTGGGAAAGTTAAATGGCTTTGACTGGAACCAGAAGGGGGTAGGAGTTTTCGATAACAGACCAGGAACATTTAGAAAATGCATGCCACCATTAACTTTTTCAAAATTTATTGTATTGAGAGGTAAAGAGGGCATTCTTGAAATGATTTTTATGCCCAATATATGTTGTACGACAGGGTCTTCGTCAGTCAGGAATTTCGTCGAGCACGTTGCACGCAATCCCTGAAAAATTGGTTGACAATCCAGAACACAAAGCCAATCAAAACCCAATCACCGTATTGAAAACAAGACTCATCAATAGCTACACCCAACGGAAATAAGGAAAGAAAAAGGCCCACAACCCAGAAGTTTTGATTACCTGGGAGAGAAGATTTTAGCTAAGTGAAATGCAGAAAAACCATCGGTAAGCTACGTGAAGCTACCAGTCTAGTCAGTGTTCCGCCGGAATGAATGTGGCTTGGCTGTGTGTGCCGTTGAAATTCTCCCCGCCGGCAACTTGGCCTCCTTGTGACAGCAGGAGAAAATACGTTTCCTCCTCCGCGTATACGTTGAAATTCTCTTCCTTTTCTTGAAGTCCAACCCAGAAATATCTTCTCAAAATTGTGTCTTTTTATTGGGTAAGCACATAGCTTTATTTTTTTTTAATAAATATATTTAATCCTTAAAAAATTATGTTATGTTATAAACTGTATACATTATTGTATCATAGGCTAAATTATAACTAAAATTAAAGTCATGAAAACTCAAAGTGGATAATATCATATTATTATTGAAGTCCGTGATTATAATATAATATCAGAGCCATGGAGAGGGAAGGTTGTTCGAGCTTTATTGACCTCAGAGGAGACTCTGTGGTGTCTAATATCATACCATTATAGAGGTCCATAATTTCTAACATGATATTAGAGCTATATTTGATAACTTCATAAGTCTCGCAAATGGTTGTGTAGTGTCAGGATGGTATAATTATCTGATATGCGTGGTTTACCAATTTAGCATACCTTAAATTAAGGTCATAATTTCCACCAATGTTATTGAACTTAAAAAAAGAAAAGACAGAGAAAAAAAAAAGTTATTTATCCATTGGTGATCAATTTTGATCTCCTCCACGATTGGCCGTTGAAAACAAAAAGAAATTCGGCCTCGAAACGTTTAAAATTCATCTCAAGACTCAAAGCTTCCAGATTCTTCTCCACCCTTCTTCTTCCTTCTTCAACCCGTCCTCTTAAAAACCCTCTCCCCACTACCCCTTTTCCCCTCATTCCACTCTCTAATTCCCTCTGTTTTCCTCTGTTTTCTCATTAATGGCTTCCGACCCAGTCGCTTCTGAGCTTTCTTCTGCCTTCGAAAGCCTGGTTTTCATCAACAGAGACATCTCTCCCATCGCACCCCTTTTCTTGGGTTTCGCCTCCGTCATCCGTTCAGCCGACCCTCAATCCCCAAATCCAGAAATTCAAACAATACCCACTTTGCCGAACCGATTCATCTTCTTTAATCCCTTTCCCCCTCAATTGATGGTGATCCAAGCCACTCCCAAGGAAGGCCAACCCCCTGCCTCTAAAGCCTCCATCAAAGCCATGCCCTCTCTCCCTGTCTCTGAACTTACTGAATGTGTGATTTGTTTAGAGGAGATTGAAGCGGGTGACCTCGCCAAACAAATGCCCTGTTCCCATAAATTCCATGGCGATTGCATTGAGAAGTGGCTGGAGTTACATGGGTCGTGCCCTATTTGTAGATATCAGATGCCAATTGACGATGAAGATGAAGGAAAGAAGGTTGATGAAGAAGGGTCAGAGAGGAGAGGAGAAAGGGAGATTTGGGTGAGTTTCTCTTTTGATAATGTTACCAGAAATGGGGAATCTGTTCAAACCCCCCCTTCAACATATTCTGATCATTCTTTTGTACAGTGAAATGCTTATAAATATCATTATAATTTTTTCAATCCTTATTACCAACTCATGGATACTTTTACTTGTTTAGCAAGAACAATTCACAAAAACAGATTAGATGTCTGATTCTTTTGGATTAAGTTAAGAGTTCACATGAGACATTTTGATGAACACATTTATTCTATCAAACTCTCCCAGTTGGCTTTGGAGTGTGCCGATGATTCGCTTCAGAAACTGGATAGTCATTGTACTGCAAATCCATTCTATCATTCAATAACTTTTGCAGTGGCTGCTTCGTCTGCCATTGAACAAACCCATCAATTCAAAATCATTTCATTTAATAATACATGTACACATACCTGATGTGCAGCTTGGGAAGCTGAAAAATCTTGACCAAGATGGATCATAATTGCAGCTCCTGTGAATATAGAAACTTATTAAGATGAACTGAGAATGACATTAAACAAGGTTTGAAGGTTGTGTACCTGATGCAGAGAGGAGTAGAGAGAGAAGGATCAAAACCATAAGGAAGTGTTGGGTTTGGCCTGCCATTTTCATTGCACGGTTTTGATCTTCATCCACTTGTAGCTCACGTGTTTATGTGTTTATATATATATATTGCAAGAGAATGGGTTGGTGAAGAGCACATAGAAATCTTTGATTTAAGCTTAAACTCTTTGTTTTGATCTCAAAGTCACAAATTGAGTGGGGATTACAGAAAGAAGAGATATATATCTGGAATGATGAACAAATTGTGGTGTTTCATGGGTTGGTTTGAAGGTCAGTTTTGAGAAGAGAATCAAAAAGTAATGGAGTTTGATCCACCATGGAAGTGGAGAATGAGAAGGAATGAAGAAACAGAGCACAGAAAACAATGGGAAGAAGTATGATGAACAAGTTTGAAAAACCATTTTGGTCAACCTTGTAATGGATTGTGAATGGGAATTTACCATTGTAATCCCATCTGGTCGCCCAAAGCAACCTCATTTCTCACTAAATTTGACACCATCATTATTATCAAATATTTTCGTGTCCTTCCCATTTATATCATCATCATCCTCTTTCTTTCACAATGATTCATGATTAGCGAGAAAAAAAATCGAAGTCGATTATTAGTGGTAATTCTACCGACAAGATTTGTTGGTGCTTTCTTTTTGTGAACGTTATTGCTACCATGGAGGCTTCTTTGTACTTCAACGCCACGCTTTTTGGTCAATTATATATGTCTTAATAAGTTAGGTTATGCTTACTCTACCATCATAGATTTAAGGCATGTTTGGACTGCAAACAATGTCTCACATTAGTTCATTCATTAGTATGAGACCTTTTAAGTGATACCAAGAGCAAAATCAAGTGGATTTATAGAGAGATGAAGTTTAACTTACAGTAACGTTCAAATAAATGAGATGTCATGTTTAGATTAGATAAATTATATTATACATAATATAATAAATATTTGAGATAAAAAGTTTCAATTGGGAAATGATTGGGCCTAATTGTGTAAAAACGGGACTTTTGGGGAAAATATATTTAAAAGTCGAGGAGAGGAAAATATTTGGTCGTGGCTTGGCCGGACTGGTTTAAGCTGGACACGTGTCCATCACTAAAGAGAGAATATGCCTCCTAACTGGACGGATGACAGCCACTAGGAACAAGATATTTCAAAACGAAAGATGTCCTCCTTTCTGCTACCGACACGTGTTCATTAACCTTTTTGTAGTGTAGATGGACGGCTGGGATGTGTTTAGATGAGGCTTTTCGTGTATCTTTTGTTCGCGGGAACTTGATGGAGACGGAGCTGATGTGGAAGAAGACAGTTATTAAGTCAGTGCCATATATGAGTGGCACCGTGGTGGGCCCCCGCCACGTGTTTATTTTACAGCTCAGCTATCCCGGCGCCGAGTACTCGCCCAAAAACTCGACGCCCAAAACTCTTCTGAACTCATAATGACATGGGACCAAATTTATTTATGGGTTCAAATTTTCATTTAAATTGTCATCTATAAATTTAAAAGAATAATGAAAAGTCAATGACCAATTAAATAATTACAAAATTGGTAATTTGTTAGGCATATTGTTAGAAAATTTTAAATATGAAGAACATTATTCATACCTAAATTGATAAAATTAAATTAAATTAACTTATAATTTTAAAAATATATCTAAAATGTAGATAAAAAAAAAAACAAAAGAAATATTGCCCATAATTATAATTTTAAAAATATAGTTATTAAGCAAAAGCATAAATAATTAAATTTTAAGACCAATAATTTTTTTTTTTTTTTTATGACTATTCTTTTACCATAAATGTCTCATTTCAATGTATTTAGTTCAACCTTATTTACTTAAGTTTTGATATGAATTACATGTCCACGTGTTAACCCGCATTAATATACATATTTAAAATTATGTCAAACTAAAAGATAATAAATTTTTAAAAATATACCAGTGACATTTTAATTTAGTTTTAAATAGCAACATTTCTAATATAATAAATGAAAATTTATATATTTAATGGTAAAATATAATTTAACCATTTACATTAATTATTAATTTTTCTTTCACTAAAAGTAATTTATATTAAATTACTTTGATATAGGAACCTAAAACTTAGAAGAAAAAAGGTTTTAAAAGAAGCATAAACAAAAGAGATTATGATTAGGGGGCAAAAAAGCAGAGCCTAAAGGCACCTACAAAATTAATGTAAAATAATTAGTTAGCCATAAAATTAGGGAGGAAGAAAGTAAACGAGGTGGCCGAGGAATTGACCGGAGGGAGAAAAGTTAGAAGACGAGTAATCGAGAGGGGTGAGAAACGTGGCGATGCTGACATGGAATAAAAAGGAAAAAAAAATCTTTTTAACCAATGTGGGGGATCTAACAGCACAACAAGGATCTTCTGTGGCCACATGAAATTGTGGTCCACAATATTCACCCCATTGCTGACGTGGAACCGCCCACCTTGACATTGTCATCTTAAATCTCCTTCTCCATTCTTTTTCTTTCTCTCAGTCTCGAACTTCTCTCTCTGGTCGGCCAAACCAGACAGACGAACCCATAGAAAAAAAAGAGGGATTTGAAGGTTAGATTGTCGGGTTTGTTGTTGAATCCGAGAACGAAAATGGGTGAAGTCGAAGTCAGAGATCCAACCATAAAGTTGTTTGGAAAGACGATTGCTTTGCCGCTCAACCATGGCGGATTTGTTTCTTCAGAATCCTCTGTTCCTAAAGCTCGCCAAAAGGTTCCACTTTTTCATGGCTTACTCTGTTTCATCATTTCAGAGTCTCTGTCAATATGGCCTTCACCTTTTTCTCTCTTTCTGGGTTTTCTGGTTTTTTTGTTGTTCTTTCAGTTTTAATGATTTTCAGTTACGTTAAAGACTATTAATCCAATCTTTCGATTGTCCGTTGACTTCAAGTTTTCGTGGACTTAATTGGGTTTCTTTTTCTGTTCGGGTTTTGAAAAATGGATTGAACTGAGTTTAGTCCTTAATCCTCTGTTATTTAGTCCTTAATCCTCTGTTATTCTGTGTATTAAGACTTCAAATTTGAACTTTCCTGCACAGGGAATCTCATATGAAGAATTGGCATCGCAAAAACAGGGGAATGGCAGTGCGAATCAAATTACAAATCAAGCAACGTCTGAAGTGAGTGAGAACCAATCAGAAGAAAGAGAAATTTCATCTCCAAGAGCTTCCAAAAATGGAGAACAGAGTGAAACAAGCATCTCCCCTGACAACAAAACCTCAAAAAAACCAGACAAAATTCTTCCTTGCCCTCGATGTAACAGCATGGACACCAAATTCTGTTACTACAACAACTACAATGTCAATCAACCTCGTCATTTTTGCAAGAATTGTCAAAGATATTGGACCGCCGGCGGGACCATGAGGAACGTTCCGGTCGGTGCCGGCCGTCGAAAAAACAAAAGCTCTTCATCTTCCCATTTATGTCAGTTAATAATTCCCGACGGTGGAATTCACCACCATCAATTTCTTGGGAAAAATGGAACCTTTCTCACGTTTGGATCAGATACTTCGATTTTCAACTCACAAAACTGTAACCAAAACGGAGATGACCATTCGAGTAAATCTTCAATTACAGCTTCCAATTCCTCGGACAGAGGAGATAAAATCACCTCACAGCAATCAACCGTGAAAAATGTTTTGCCTTTTACACCTCAATTACAGTCATTTACAGGGCATTCATTGCCTTATTCTTCAATGGCCCCGCCGCCGTTCTACCCCCCTGGGTTTCCAGTGTCGTATTACCCTGTTCTGCCGTACTGGGGCTGCACAAACCCGCCATCTTCGACAGTAATTAATCACAATGCTCAAAATTCTCTCACAAACCCTTCTGTTTTGGGGAAACGTTTGAAAGTGGATGATCCGAATGAAGCTGCAAAGAGCTCCATACGATCACCACTTGGAATTAAGCATGAAAAGGCTGCTGCAAGTTCCATCAAGGGCGGTGCCCTTTTTGCTTCTTTCCAACAAGCTGCAAAGGGGAAAGAAGTAAACCACATTGAAAGTTGGTCGCTTTTGCAGGCTAATCCAGCAGCCTTTTCTCGGGCTTTGAAATTCCATGAGATTGCTTAGCATTAGAGTGGAAATTCTTGTTATTTTCCCAGCAGAGGCAGTTTAACGAAGACAAGACTGTAGCACACATCCAACACGAGAACTCCACCTGAGTGGAACCCATGTTTGGTGGTGGCTGGGGCATCTGCTTATGTCCAGCTTTCTTGTGCATTATTATTACAAGTGAGATATATATACCTCTTCTACCCTGATGGAACGCTACATTCTTGGCTGTGTAACACACATATATATTATATATATTTCGAAATAAATTATACTTCAGACCATACGATATTGTCTGCTTTTCTTTGAGCATAAGTTCGCATGACTTTGTCTTAGACTTTCCCAAAATGTCTCATATCAATGAACATGTATTCTTTTTCCTTATAAACTCATGATCATTCTCTAAATTAGTCAACGTGAGACTCAACACGAAGGACTATTAAAATCTCCCCTCAAATATTCATCAATTTGTGTTAACTCTCAAGCAAATTACTTTTCATCAAGAAAGTTCGCTCTCTTTGTCTAATCATATGAGATCCCATATTGGTTGGAGAGGGGAACGCAGTACTTTTTATAAGGATGTGAAAATCTTCCTCTAGCATACGAGTTTTAAAGACTTTAAGAAGAAACTTGAGAGGGAAAGCTTAAAGAGGACAATATCCGCGAGCGGTAAACTTGGGTTGTTACAAATCAACTCAACAAATAATCAACCTAGCCAATTGTGAGATCCCACATTGGTTGGAAGGGAGAAAACGAAACATTTCTTATAAGACTATGGAAACCCTAAATGTATTTTAAAACTGTTAAGTTAACGACAACACGTAACGAATTAAAGCAAACATATTACGCCAATATTCGACTTTAGTTACCTCTAATAACGACTTTTTATATGCAGAGTGAGTGATCATCCTACAGTGATAATTGGTGGGTTTGCTATGGACACATAGAGACCACATGTTGTTGTACACTAAGATTGATTGCCATTGGGGAGGGGACCCAATTGCATGTGATGCCATAAACTTTCATTATCATTGTTCCCATCTTCCACCTTCGCTTTCCCTCTTCTGCTTCCTTCATCCATTTTCATTTACATCATCATCTTCTTTACTTCTATGTCTATTCCTATACCAAATATTGTTTGATAGCAACAATTCAGCTTTTGAGTTGCTAAAGGAAAAGGGTTTGTCCTGATCGATAAATTGTGGTTCAAACTAGCTTTAAACATAATCATGTAGGGATTTGATCTCAAATTAAAACCAATAACAATAATAATAGTAATAATGCATGGTTCTTGGAGAAAGTGTGTTGAAAGCAAAGTTTGGAAAAGTGATAGCAACTCTGCAATGTGTGCACCCAAAAAGGCAGATTTGGACAAAGATGGAACAGCTTGTGAGTTTGAAGTGTCCCCTTCAAGTGGACAACTCCAAATAACTCACCACTTGGGAGTTTGTATCATCAGAGATATTCATCATCTTCCCTCCTCAGATAATGCATAGAGCCTGGGCTCAACCCACCTTCCCTCAATTTCTCTATCCTTTCATAAACTACTTCACACACCCCCAAATCCTTGCTTCTTGGGCCAATTTCCATTCTTGGGTTCTCTCCTACAAATAATTCTTCTTTTATATATATACACATGTTTGCCTCCACGTAAATGGATTGTACGATCCCTCGTTGGTTGTAGAGAGAAATGAATCATTTTTTATAAGTGTGTGAAAACCTCCTCCTAACATACATGTTTTAAAATCTTGAAGAGAAACTCGAAAGAAAAAGTAAAAAAATGACAATATCTATCAACGGTAGACTTGGACTGTTACAATATACTATCACGAACACCTGTTAGAGAATATCTTAATAGATGAGCTAGTTGAAAAGATAGCAAAAACGATCATTGAAATAAATTTTCTTTTACCTAAAAAATGGTACGTCGAGTTAAGATACAATATGCATGATATAAGATTATGACAAAATAAGATAGTCGAGTCTTACTAGTACTTAATACCAAATCTTTTACTCGAAAAAAAAATAATAATAACCCTTAGCTTAGATGTGATTAGATGTGATGTGTTTCCTTCCTCAAAAGTTGAAACAACCTTAATTTTAACAAACAAAAAACACAAAATATGTAAACAAGCCAAGTTTGAAATCACAAGAAGTTGCTTGACACGAATGGCACAAAACACAGACAGTACACGTCGAGGAAACATAGGATAAAAAAAAGCAACCAACCTTAATAAAAGCAAAACAATCTAAGATTAAGGATACTTTTAGTCTATATTATATTTGAATAATAATAATAATAAAATCAAGATGTTCCACCACTCACTACATTCTTCAGTTTCCTCTCCTAATCCATTGCAGTGAGGTAATCTACTAATTATTATTCTCACATTTCAACTTCCTGTGGCTCCAACTCCAAGAAAGTCAATAAATCTTGGTGATGAAGAAGATCCACCTGTTGCCACTTGTGATCCCCCGACGCCGTCGTTTGCCGCCGCCGCCGCCGTGTTACACGCCCCATACTCACTCTGGCTTCCTGGTACCAGAATCCCATTGCCTGTTCCATCCCAAAATCTGCTCTTGGGATCTGCACACACACACACACACACCATAATAACCAATGCCCAATTCATACCATACTCTGTAATGGGTAACTAACTGTATGTATATTCAATCAAAATTTAACCTGGAAGGACATTGAGATTTGAAAGATGAGCACATGAGGTGAAGAACGGGGTGTCACAGGGCATTGCCTCTGCTCCAGCAATGGGCATTTGGGTTAAAAACGCATAATCAACAGCACCAATAGAAGCCTGAAAGTTTGGCATATTATGATGCTTAAGGAAGCTCAAATCTTGGTCCATTTTAGTGTAAACAGATTGGGTCAGCTTCCTTCTTCTGTAACAACGAGAATGCTCTCTATACTTCCTTGCCATTATGACATGCCAATGATTCTTCACTGCATTATCAGTCCTCCCAGGAAAAAGCCTTGCAATCATCGCCCATTTGTTTCCATATATCCTATGAGCTTGCATTAGCCTCTCTTCCTCTTCTTCACTGAATGCCCTTCTGTTAATCCTTGGGTCCAGTTGGTTAAACCATCTCAATCTGCAGCTCTTACCTTCATAAGAACACAAACAGAAAACATTTCAAAAAAAAAAAAAAAAATTGAAATTGAAAGAAACATAATATGATTGTGGGTGTGTTACCGGATCTTCCCTCTAGCTTCTCTGCAATGAGGTTCCAATTTTGGGGGCCATAAATGGCTACGAGCTCTCTCAATTTGGTGTCCTCTGCAGGCCTCCAATGGCCTCTGGCACAGAGCCTAGACTGAGCCCCAGTGGGTGTAGTAGTATTATTATTATTAGCATTGGAACAAGAAGCTGGATTAGCGTTGTGATTTTCAACAAATCCATCGCTGAAATCAGTCTCTGAGCTTCTACTCATCATAGACTCACATGAAAATGGAAAATCAGAGATGGACATGAGTGCAGAGTTGAGATCAAGATCCATGCTTCCCTCCACTTTCATACCATAATCATCATCAACCAACATACCCATTAGCGGCTTTTTCATAACAAAGCTTGCATTTTTTGTAAAAGGGGTTGAGATTTATAGGCCAAAGTGGAGGCGTTTGAAGGTGGGTTGGGAAAGAAATGGAATATTGCAGTGTACGGAGAGGAAGGGGAAAAACTTAGAGGAGGAGGAGGGTAAACAGTAAGAGAGCTAAGAGATTGCAACACGAGCACTGCTGACCAATTCTGGTGTAACCCTTTTTAGCTAACACGTTTGGATTTATTTGGGTTGCTTTTGGTTTTCTATGGACATGGACATCGCCCTTTCACTTTCCTTTTCCTTTTCCCTTTTAATGTTCTTCCCCATTATTGTAATCACTCTTTAACACTACTTTTTTAAACAATTGAACGCTCCAAGATGGCCTCAAACAATGAGGAGATTGAGAACAATAATAAACATACCAAATTTTATTTAACAAAATCGTACGCCTCTCTCTCTCTCTCTCGCTTTCTATTTATGAATCTCTGTGAAGTCAGTGGAGACATCAAACCAAACAAATCTTCTGCTATCTTTGTTTTACCAATCCCAATACTTTCTTTTGTAACTGTTTCAAATTAACTAATAAATTAAAGGGGGAAGGAAGTGGTAGATCAAATTAGGGGATGTGGGGAGGTGGGGATGTGGGGAAAGGGTCTCTCCTTTCAGTAATTTTGTATTTTTAAGTTCAACCCAACTTAGGGTTAGAGGAAGTTAAAAGGGTCATTGGGTTTATATCATCAAAGTCAGACTTGTTGGCAGTGAGAAAAAGGTGATTTTGGCTCCTCTACGTTCGTTGGTGGAGGTATATAAACCTCTCTTTAGCAGACGCATTTTAAAATTGTGAGTTTAACGATGATACGTGACGAGCCAAAGAGGACAATATCTGCTAACGATGAGGTTTGCCTATTACAAATGGTATAGAGTCAGACATGGGATTGTGAGCCAGTAAGGACGCTGAGTATCACCATCATGTCTGAGTCATCAAGGGAGCGGATTGTGAAATCTCACGTCGGTTGGAGAGAGAAACGACTTATAAAGGTATGGAAACCTCTTATAAGGAAACGTATTTTAAAATCGTGAGGTTGACAGTGATACGTAGCAGACCAAAACGGATAATTTTAGGATGAATCATAATGGAATGAAATTTTCTTGAATAGTTACGAAACATGAGAATTACAAAAATGTGTTTAGGGTTTAAGGTTGGAAAGTCAAAATAAGAGACATATTATTTTTCAGTTCATACTCTTAGAAAGAATGTTTCGTTATCCTCTCCGATTGATCGGAGTCTCACATTATATAAAGATTTACAAATTTAGTTAAATTATACTGTTAGGCTAAAATACTATAAATGTTTGAATTGGTTTTTATAGTGTTAAATCCATCTCGTATTGTTAGAATCCTAATTGGTCAAATATTGAAACAGCGGTTCATATGATTGAAGCATGGAGAGAGAAGGTTGAAGTGAAAGGAAGAAACCCAATTGGAAAAAGGCAAAACACAGTGTGTTGAGTTTGATGAACCTCAAATTCAGAAATATGAATAGGGTGTGTGTAAGTAAGAGTTGTTTTGTGAGGGTGAAACTGAGGGAGTTCTGGTTTTGGGTGTTTGGTTTATGGTTTATGGGGTGCGAGTGGCTGTCCCTCTCTCAAATGCCAATAAAAGAGAGCTATAAAAATGATGGGTTGGTTGTCTGTCACTCCAGTTTCCAGCAGCATATAGATAGATAATAGATGGATAGATAGTAGGCTTATGGCTGCAGTAGTGTGCTTTGACGCCTTTCTTTTCAGTGCAGATTTCAGCTTTCAGAACCCAACAAAAGTAGAAGAGATGGAAAGAGAGGGTTTTGAGTTTGACACCTTAGTTATTAGAACACAGACAACCCTGTCATGGCTGCTGCTGCTGCTACTGCTGCTGCTCACACACATTGTCAATCACACTCATCTAGCCCCTCCCCTCTTCCCCTTTTCCCCCTCTTCCCTCTTCCCCCGGCCTTAACCAACTGAGGTTGACCCACCAAACCCCCTCCTTTGCCTTTATTATCAACAAATTTTAACACCCTCCTCTCTCCTCTCTCAATCACTCGTGAACTTTGTTGACCCTCTTCCTTTCCTTAGGTCCCCAAATTCTACACGGGTGGAAGAAGAGAATGAAACATTTTTTATAAGGGTTTGAAAACTTCCTTCTAATAGACGTATTTTCAAACTTTGAGAGAAAGCCCAAACAGAAAGTCATTTACTTCGACCAAACCAAGAGTGTTTAGAAAGGTTGTATATGTAGTGATACCCTCTCCAATGAATTCTTATCATGTTTGTTTGGTTGGGGATATATCTTGAGGCATTGAATGGCTATTTGAACACATGGGTGGATAAAGTAAGTTTCATGATATTGTTCATATCATTTCTGTCCTTTTAGGAGAAGAGAAGTTAAAGAGGGGCCTTAACTAGAAAGCCAGTAAAAAAGAAGCAGAAGGGTAGATTTTTTCACCCAAAGGAATGTACTTGGAATGGAGGATATCACATGAATGGCTTAGGGCTTACATCCTCAACAGTGCTGAAACAAAACAAACTTTGAAGCTGAAAATAGAGAGTGAGTGGGTTTTTCTTATTTTTTATTTTTAATTTATCTCCTTGGGAATCCCAAAATCAGACGTTTCATTCAATTCATTGTTTGGCACAGTGTATCAGGAATGTACTATCAGCTGTGACAATGGGGGTGAACAGTCATGGGTCAAGAAACAGAGCTTCCAACAACAACAACCACCAACCAAACAACACACTATCTCCATTAATGAGCTATCAAACTCTGAGCCATAGATCTCGAATTCATCATGCATCTTTCATTTCGACTTCCTTCCAAACCCATCTATCAATCCAACCTCTGAATCAATACATATAATCCATTCCCTTTTGGTAATTTTCAACCTTGCTTCTTTTAGAATCACCACAAAAACCCTTTAATCTACTTGCCTTCACAGTTTGGTTCTACATTACATTACATTACAAGGAAGAAAAAACCAAAGCTACCCATTTCCTTGAATTTGCTATACAGTACTCTCTTTAATGACAATACCTGATATCACTATACTTCCACTTTGTTTTGGAATCTAATAAATGTTCATCTATTTGTGTTGGTGATTTCAGAACAAACTATGCTGCACAGGGATTAGGATGATTCTTTCAACACTTTCTATCACTCTACAACCTCTTACTGAACATATTTTTCAAGTCATCAATCGCTTTCACCACATCACAGAAACAAAAATAACCCTTTTACTAGGGTCATTTCAGGCCACTCGTAAACACGTATTAAAAACTTTAAAGAAAAATTTAAAAAGAAAAATTTGAACATAGATAATATTTACTAACATTAAACTTAGATCAGACTGTTATCGTGCTGAATCATCAGGCTAAACTGAGCCTGATTTGAAAAGGTTTGTGTTTGGTGGAGTGTGTGGTCAGACAAAGGACAATCGGAAGCAGAAGATGAGGGCAATATTGAGGAGTAAAGGTGTGTAATAGTATTATTGCTAAACGCCTAAATTTCCCCCCATCGTTAACTTCATCCTTTTCTGGTGTGGTCTGGTCTGGGCCTGATCTGCACCTCCCAAAAAAAACTAATTTTTAGGGGTTTAAATTGAATATTTAGCATTTGTTTCTATCTTCTGCCAATCCCACGTGCGGCATTTCTAGCCCTACAGAACTGAGCCCTCTGACTGCTTCCTAATAGCAGAATTATTGCGACTTTTGACAGCTTACCTGAACAAGCAAACTTAGGATCCCCTTCTCATACAACACTTGTGCAAACTCTGTCCTCTTCATTCTCTTCTCCCTATATCCTTTTCATACTGAATGAAACGCAAGAACCAAAAACACATCAGCCGTGAAAACTTGGGAATTTTCATCAACTTGGATCATACATACAACACCAAAATCAAACTGGGTTATCTCAGAAATCTTGTTCTAAATAATTGGTTTATACATAATAACGTAAAGGACAGAACCCACTGCTGTTTTGGCTTCTTCCAAGATGGAAAAAACAGGAACTCCATTATATTGGCAGTGCCAACTAACCTTCTTCAACCCCAAATGGGCAGCAAAGGATGCCAAGGGTAGCTAGCTAGGAGCCTGAGCATATAAGGAGTATGAATGTAGTAAAGGAATTTGGTGAGAAATGGCCCACAATATAAATGGTAGGGCTGAGCCAAAATATTCTGTTGGGTTTGCTCCCTTGGAAGGATACGGAATGGATGCTAAAGGTAGTGCCCGAAGGGTTACCCTTCAGTGCAGAGAACAAACAAAAATGAATCTTTATGTTGGGATTTGCAAATACCAATATATAAAGCATATCACTTAAAAGATCTCTCACTTTTCCATGTTTCTATGTTAAAAGTAATCCAGAGGAACCAACCAACCAACCCAGATACAAATCCCATGATGCTCCTTTATCATTCCAACATGTTGTGTGAACAACCCTGAAGAAGAGATAAGAAAAGAAGGGAAGATTGATCATTTGATTTATAGATATATACATATTTAAAGATTGAAGCATAGTGGTCAGTTATGATTGTCGTAAAGCACAAGGACAAACCAAAATTCCTTCACACACGACACGACCATGTATTCATAACATGTGGATTCTGAAATTGCTGTTTCATAACAGGATCATTTCGCTGTCGTCTATGAATTCTACTTGCCCTACACCTTCAGCTGAGCTAGTTTTTGCAATAACATCCATTTAATCCATCAAATCTCCTTAAGCAAACATATAAGAAGTATTGTAAACCAACTAACTAACTTCTGTAGAACATTCGTTCTCCTTCGACTCTGATCTGTGTTGGAGGCAACCAGACATAATATAAATGCAGTGTAGAGTAGGGAGAGAAAGAATTGAATGAAAACCATGAATTTCAAATCAATACTCATCTCACCCTTCGAGGGTGAATGATTACAGAATGGGACAGATCCCCTCTCTCTTGTTTTTCTGTGTCTGAGCAAATTGATTGTAGGAAGTTAAAAGGGTCCAGAGGTGACGACTGCAACCCCAATTTGCATTTGCATTTGGTGTCCCGAGAAACAGAGATGACCCGAGGCCTCTCATACTGTACCCTTCAAAACTTGTCATGTAGTGGACAACGTACTCTGGAATCTGGACTGCGACAGTGATGCAACTCTGCAGCAAGAAACCGTGTCCTTCGGCTCATGTTTCAACAAGAAAATGAATCATCATGCACTGAGATATCTCTCATTGTTTCTAACTTTGGTGGGACAAAATCTAGTTTCATTTTCACACTAACTTTCTTCCTCCAGGAATGTAATTTCAAGTTCTACTGATGATTCAGTAGCCTACATTAATAAGGCGGGGAAGGACAGTGCCTTTAGTTATCACATGATTTGGGGGTTTACCCTTCCTTCCCTTTCTTCTTCCTTGAAGTTTGAGAGAATTTGAGAGAATTCAGATTAGATTACTGTTGTCCGTGCGATTTCACGAAGAATGAGTGTCAGCGAGGACGCTGGGTCCTAAAAGGAGTGGATTGTGAGATTACAGATCGATTGGAGAGGGAAACGAGTTAGTAAGAATGTTGGGCCCGGAGAGAGTTCTATGAAATCTTATATCGATGGGAGAGAGTAATGAGTGTCAGCGAGGAAGCTGGACTCTGAAGGGAGTGGATTGTGAGATTTCATATCGATTGAAAAGAAAAAATGAGTGTCAGCGAGACTGTTGGGCCCTAAAGAGAGTGGATTGTGAGATCACAGAGAATAACAAAACATTCTTTAAAAGGGTGTGGAAACCTTTATTTAGTAGACGCATCTAAAATGAAAAAGCCTAAAAAGAATAATACCGGCTGGCAGTGAGGTTAGACGGTTACACTATTCGACTTTTTTCCATTTTCCAGTTATTCTCTAATTAAACAACAATCTCCAGATGTAATGCAAGTCGCTCAACAAACTACGGTAGTCTGGGCCTACATTACATCAACAAATGGCAACTGTGGAAGCGTCGAGTGTGTGTGTTCTACGTATTCTCTGTTTAAACAGCAAACATTCTGACTGATGATCCCATTCAAGAAGGGAACAATCTTGTGAATCCCTACAACCAATTTAGATAGTCAATGGCTGCATTAACAAATGAATCTGGTGGAAGGCCTGGTCTTGTCAATCGAGCTGTAGTTCTGACCGGTGATGGAAACAATCTTGTGAATCCCTCCGACGAATATAGATAGTCAAGGGCTGCATTATGTGCGGAAGGCCTGGTCTTATCAATCGAGCTGTAGGATCATTTCCATAACAGTTCCTGCACAAAGGAAGGAAAAAGTTAACTCAACTTAACCTAACATCAGCAATGCTCATCCAGGATTTCCACATAGCAGCACGTGTGTTTGTGGCAGACAGACTATAAGAAGCATCAAATCATCAGCAGTTCATGTGTTAATTACATACAACCATCCGGAACACTTGTTTAGCTGCAGCCGCTGTGTCAATTTGTGTATACCAATATCATTTTTATCTCAATACCAAGCTGCCAGGATTCCAATTTAGCATAATATTAAGAACCACAGGTCCTTGCAGCTATGTAGAATCTGATCTCAATACTGCATACAAAGTCAATCCCAAGATTAGAAAGATGTCCAAGTGTTGTTTAACACAATCGGTTGGTATCACTGAAACATAGCATCAGTTGTGGGAATCGCTAGTGTTCATAATTTTTCTTAGCTTTCGATTGTAATAAGGCCCTGGTTCATATTCATACTCATCCATAAACAACCTAATCAATTGAGTTTTAACGGAGATTGAAGATTCTAAAGAGCCATAAACCACAAATAATCACATCCGAAGAAACTACAAATTTACAAGAAGCAAAGCAACTCACTTCGACGATCAGCCGTCAACGACTGCAATTTCATTTCTATGAACCTTGCAGTGAGCTACCCGTCACTAACCTTCAGCATTTTCGACGACAATCTATGCACGGTGGAAATGGAGGAGATTGAAGGTCCAAGTCGGAGACGAGAATTCTAGGGCATCGAACCTCATTAAGAAGGAAATCGAGGAGGGGGTAAAGATCATAATCCGGATCGGAGGTGAGGAGTTTGGTGCAGAGAGCTCGACAGATTTGAGGGCGAAGAGAGCGGCAGGGAGTGATTCCAGACAAGTCTTATTGATCCAAACTTTGTTCCCCATAGGTATACACTTTTTTGCGCTTAGGAAGTGATTCTAGACAATGCCTTGTTGGTGGTATTTTACAGAAAACGAGCATTAAACATATCAGTATGAGTGCTCTTCAAGTTCTTCCTTGCTTATTTCGGCACCGGTGGAAGTCCAGGGATTTCAAATTCTGGACAAGAAAATGGCTATGCAGAACAGAAGGTCCAAGGCCCCAGCACAATTGGGCTTCTTCTTCTGGCCCTTGTGCTGTTTCATTGATACGCAATGGACTAGCAATGGGTGGTAGGCTTGGGCTGTTACCTTTTATATATCAATGCATTTGGGTTCTATCAGGAGATTCCGTGCTTGATTTTGTGGTTCTTTTAGTTGCAGTCCAAATGGTTTGGCCCAAAACAATTGGGTTTAGGTTTGAAGTTTAGAAACTCAGAGCAGGACAACCGTTGTGTGGTAGAGAATAGAACCACCGAATTTTGGGAGGATAATTGACATGTTAGCTCAGAGCTATACTCGAATTGGCGAAGGATATTTAAGTTTGGGGCAGATGGGAGATCGAATAACAGAGAGGTCGCACTTGAAAACATTAATAAGAAAACAGAGAAACAGAACACAATTAAATAAAAGTCTGCGTTTTTCATTACTTGAGGAAACTGAAAATTTACACTTTCAGCGACCAATAATACATCAAATACAACCATGATGAACTCACAATAGTGTACCTAAAATGCAGGCGGGTGGTTAGAGCCCACCTCTGCCAACTCTTGCTTTATAGCAAAAGTTAGGGTAAAAAATCACAATAAGTAGCCATTAAGCCACTCATTCAATGTCGCAATTTGAATCAAAAATTGATAAGAAAGAGCTTCCCAAAACAAGCCCCTTCCTCATTTTTTGACCCAAACGCTCGCATAGAGTATACTATTATCTAATACTCTAGTATACTTTAAGTAAACAAAAAGAAAAAATCACACTAAATTCTGCATAACCATAGAAGCTTATTTTAGCTAGAGGAGGTAATAAATTAGAATTGGGCACCACTGTATGTCTGTCCAAAGGACCAGCCGGCTGGGACAGCGTTGTTAGCGATGACTGTGCGGCCGTCGCTGGTGGTGACCTTGAACGACAGGCTTTGGCCATTGAGGTAACTGTTGCTCTGCCAGTTCTGTCCCCAGTTCCTAGACATTGCTTGCCAACCAGTTCTTGATCCTTTGATGGAAACTGCGTGTACATCACCAGCACCACCCACGTTTGTGATGAGAACCAGGTTGAAGTAGGAGTGCCCATTGATGGTGAATCTTATACCTCCCCTTCTCCTGCAGGGTACCCTACAAAAAAGAAAACCCCACCAAAACTTGTTCAATTAAACGCCTCTGTAACACATCCCCTGCATTTTGAAACTCTGTTCATATGCCTTGCTTACCTTCTGTAAGCAACAGGCACAATTCCTGCTTTATACTGAGCAATGTGTTGGAATACAGGCTGAGAGAGATCAAAGTGTTGTAGAGGAGGGTTGCACCAGCCTCCAGCGTTGTTGGGTAGGGCATTGTTTGGAGGACAGAAATTGGTGGCTGTTACCACAATGGAGCCTGGCAAGCACCATTTAGGGTCACTGGCACACCTAATCTCATAGCAAGACCCACAGCTCAAGCCATTGTTGAACAGAGCCGTACTCAGAGCAGCAGTGTTTGTCCCATAGCCTTGGCTGTATAAGTTGCCATACCCACAAGCCCCACCTGCACAATTTCATCCAACACAAAAAAAGTTCAGCCATATTTCACATTGTCTGCCAATGGCATGGATAAAATGGTGGTGGTTTTGGTGCATACCCATCGTCCCAGAAGCATCACTCCCACCATAGAAGGTGGCATGAGCACTAGTCCAGCCTCCACCTGCATAGGCATCAACAGAGGACACTACGGCATAGAAAGCTGCCAAAAAGACAAGGACAGAAGCCATTCCTGCAACAAACAGAGAGTTCAACTTTCAGCAAATCTTGAACATGATTGCAGAAGCAAATGTGTGCGTGTGAGAGAGAGAAAGAGAGAGGAGAAGATGATTACCAGAAGGAAAGATGTAAGGAATGAAGGAACAGAAAGGAGGATAGGAGTGAGAGATTAGGAGAGTTTAGGGGAGAATATATAGAAATCCTGAGAGAGGGGGGGAAAGGGAAAGGGAAAGAGAAAGGGTGGCTAAAGACTAATTAACCACCGTCGCCACAGACCAACACTTTTTGAAGGTACTGACACCTAAAAATTCAATTATTACTACGAGTATCATATATCATGGTAACTTTGGTTGTGTAAGGTGGTATGAGGGGGGCCAAAACCTGTGGTTTTGGACCTTTGCTACTGAGATATCCAGGTGGGGTAAGGCGGTTTGTGCCCTATTGGCTAATGAATTTCCATAGCCATGTGCAACCAAGCAGCATCCCCTTCTCTCTGGCCTTTGCCCCTATCTCTTTTTCTTTTTTTTTTCTTGTTTTCTTTCTTCAAATTGTCTGCTTCACCCATTTCTAAATCAGAATAATCTTAGGTGGTTTGCAGTTCAAGCTTCTTTTCCGAATCAAAACAACACGATTCATACCACCAGGATTAGTACTCAATCCGTTCGTTAGGAAAAAGTTTCATTCTCACAATCCACCCTTTAGAGGACCCATGTCCTTGCTGGCACGTCAACTCTAGTACCACTAACATATATTATCCATTTTGACTCGTTACATATCGACGTCAATCTTACGGTTTTAAAACAATTTTCACACTCTTATAAAAAAATCTTTTGTGGGATCTCACGATCCACCCCCTTTGAGAGGCTAAGGTCCTCGTTGGCGCACTCCCATGTGTCTGGCTCTGCTATCCTTTGTAACAACTCAAGCCCACTACTAACAAATATTGTCTACTTTAGCTCGTTACGTATCACCGTCAATCTCAAGGTTTTAAAACACATCTACTACAAATAAACTTCCACACTCTAACCGGGATATCACATTAATAAACAAAGAAAAAAAGCAGTAAATATCGACTTAAATTGATTTGAAAAAAAAAAGAAAAAAAGAAAAAAGAAGAGGAGTCCACATAGTGTTGGAAGTATATTGTTTGGTTAGAGGGTCCATTGCTAGACAATGTGACTCAACATAATATTGAAATAGCATCAAATTTAAATGAAAAAATAATAATAATGATAATAAAAAGCAAATATTGGATAGCACGTGGGTGATGACATTTTTAGCTGTCTTATACCAACCTTCCAATGTCCAACTAGTGAGCCCCATCTTAATTAATTTAAATCAAATAAACCAAATAATTCCCACATTCTTTTTCATTTTTCATTTTTTATTTTTTTAAAACTTTATTTACGTATGCTTCTCCATACACAAAATAAAAAATAAAAAATTATAAGATATATTTATTAGAATTAATTAACGTAAAAGTTCCAATTTTTCTTTTTCTTTTTTTCTTTTTCTTTTCACACCTTCCTGCCATTTTAATAACTGGCAGGGAGTTAGTTCACACCAAGAACCCTTCTTTCTGCTTCAAAATTTCAAATAAATAAAATTGAAAGTCTTCAATTTGGACTACCAACAAAGGTGCATTATCCTTTGAAGAAAAATAACGTTGAAGATTAAATTATGTTTCACACGTGCCTAATGCTTCTAATTAATTCCCCCACATGTGTGACAGATTTTGTTACATTATTATTATTAAACCATGACTTAGGTGTATTAAACTATAAATAAATCTTGATTAATGCTAACCAAAATTAAGATCTGCATGGACAGTGACTTCCTAATTACAAAGATTCTTCCCTAAACTCAACCGTGATTTGCGCCACCGTGTCTCCCGTTCTTTTTTTTTTAATTTCTTTTTTCCGGTCAATTACCCAAAGTCCAACCAATTTAATAATTCTTAGTCAAATACGTACAAAATTGAAGCCATTCTATTCAACCTCATTCAATTCAATCAAATAATTAATACTCGTAAATTTGGGGGCGAAGCAAGTGCACATGCAGGTTTTTTGGCTTCATGTTCGAAGTCGAATCCAACTTGTCTTCTAATTTACCCCGAAACCCTCCTTTCTCTCTTTACACATTCTTCCAAACGCCTTTATTACAAGTTACATGTTTCTTAACTTACTCACTTTGTTCTACGTGGGTAACATATTTACTTCAACCATTATTCTCTTTTTCGAATATAGTCCTGAACAACAGATATAGTCTTAGATGTTAACCACTCGAGATTTCTTTTTTAGTTCTAATTTTTGTAGGGTCTTTAACTATTAGTGTTGGTCAACCTTATCGTCCCATTTCATATTCGAAGGTCAAACCAAATCTAACCAATCTAACGGAGTAAGATTGGATATAGGTCATATGTTTTAAGATTAGGTTGGCTCCTAGATTCACTCCTTTGGCATCATATTTGGATACACTTGTCCAATTTACTTAATTTGTTTATCTTTGAATCAACTCAAATATAAAATAAATATCGACCAAAATTTTGATCCAATCAATAAAGTTAAAAGTTTGAGTCATAAGCTCAATTCTTAAAGACGGCATCCATTCAAGTCTGGTCCAAATTGTATTTTAGAGTTGTTAGACTTACGGTAAGGTCGAGTATGAACATTGAGTTAGACCCAAGCTGACCCTACGAACAATGAAAGTGAAATGTGGAAAATAAGATCTATTTGTAAAGATTCGGTAAATTAATGTCTCCCCATATCATATCCCAATGCGACACCAAATTGCAAAAGCAAAATTCACATGCACTTTTTCTTTTCCATCACTAAGAACAGAGAAGAATGCTGCGAAAGTTAACTCCTTTTTGTAACCACTAATCAGATTTTCTAAGTGGAAGAAAATAAATTAAAAATAAATAATAAAATCTGGTCAACTTTCTTGATTTGACTTCTTCCTTTTCACTTCTCAGTTCACATGCTTTGTTTATTTTATCGAATTATAATGTTTAAAATAAAAAAAACATTTCCATCTCAATTAACAAACTTCACACTAATGTTTCTTAAAATTTCAGAAAAAAAAAAGGTCCGAAAATGCGAATATTTGGAGTAATTTTGGGTGGTGGATTTTAGGTAGGTAGCTCAACCAACCAACTACCATAATGTTTATTTATTTATTTATTTTATTTTTAATAATTACAATTAAAATCTCATTAATTAAAAAGTGAATCCAACCTCTGCCCGGATTTGGTGGGCCACTCTCTTTTAACGGAAAAAAATCGCAAAAATCCGAATAATACGAATCCTATTAATTAGTTTTCTTTTTTAAAAAACTAATTATTAATTATTATTTGTTGTAATTATTATTGAAGGCAGAGAAGTAATGAGGAGTAATAGTGAGCAGCTAGCTAATTAAATTAGTTGTAGCTCTGTGCCTGTACGTTGAAGGGTTTATTATTATTATTATTTTTTTAATTTTTAATTTTTAATTTTTATTGTTTTAAAAATGAAATTATAGCAAACTTTATGGTGCCGACAAATGTGGTATTATTTTATAACAGCGGGTGTCGTTTTCCCATGGTCCAAGGTGGCTATCTTAGTACACTCTACATACTAATCATCATTTACTAATTAGATTAACTCTACTAATTGCTAATTCTTAAAAATAGACCGTATTTTCGTTTTTAATGATAAATAAAAGCTATATAGATCATAAGTTGTAACATTTATGTCTTTGTTTTGGTAATTACAGGAGTCGTTTCAAAAATCTCTGTAGGTCTCGCACTCCAAATTGATGGTGTTTGTTCTCCTTGAATTTGTCCGTTTTGGCACTCTCTTCTTCAATTCGTTTGTAAAAAAATGGACCTGGGTTGACTAGACAATGAACTCGCTCTAGATTATGTCAACTTTTTAGTCGAAATATAATTGTTGGTCCAAGGACACAAGGTACCTCTATTTTTTTTTAAGGTAAGGAGTAGAAAAAATACCTCGAGTCAATGTTAGTAGTTCGAAAATAAATATCGAAATTGTAGGTAGCGATGGGTTGAAAAGTCAAACTGTACATGAAAAATAATAATAATAATAATGTAATTAATTTTGAGCTTCACCCAAACGCTACCCTATATTTGGTTGAAGAGTTTGGAACGTGTACTCAATTTTCAGCTCAACTCCCAATATTATTCTTTATTCGTACTTTTAAATACAGTTAATAACTAATAAAAATCAAATTTTTTTTAGTGATAATAAAATTTAAACATTCTTCATTAAATTTTTGGCGATAATAAAAATCATGTTGGGAACTAAGATGAGATGATGGGATGCGATGTTGCATTGAGAGGCCTCAGTCTAGTGGCAAGTCGGTTACGTCGCAGACGATTGAACACGCATGTGCAACCAACATGTGTGGTAGAACAAGCTTAGATTCCGTACAAGTGATATTCGTTTGACAAAGACAAACCTCAACTAAGATCCGACGAAACTATAAAGTCGAGTGAAAAATGTATATGAGGCTTGGATTCTCCACAAGACTTGATGCCACACGGTTGAAAAGTATGACCATGACTATTAAAAATATATACTTTATCTTAAAATTGATCCCAAACGATCAATTAAAAAAAAAATGGTTACCAAAATAATTTATACTTTTTCATTCACAAGAATGATTAGAGGTTTTTGTATACTAAAAAAATGCATTAAAAAATATTTAAAAATTGTGTAAAAATATTAAAAATGAAAAATAAAAGAAAGGCTACACAAACAAACTGTCAAATTCTTTGGTAATATATTCCAAAAGGCAAAGGAAATAAAAGTGTATATAACCAATGATGCTGTAAGCCACTCACCCAAACACCCCACTTCCATTTCTTTTCAAATAAACCTAACCTAACCATATCCTTTTTCAAACCCTAAATTTAAATTACATCGAACCCAAACCCGACATGCTTTGCTGAAAGTAAACCCAACTGACCAATCAAAACCGAACCAAACGAACTAAAATCAACAAAATTTATCTAAATTCTTCTTTCAATTTGACGGCGCACTTGATTCAATAGTTAATTTAAAGTAGCTTGTATGAATGGCAAACACTTACCAAGATTAGACTAATTTGAATGGGAGGAGGGAGGGGCCCTTGCCCTTCTTGTTCCCACAATACACATGCTTCTCGACCTTATTTTCTTGCTTGGTGGAAGCCAATATTATTTCTTGTCCTAATCTAATCCTAACGAGCATTCTTTTCTAACGATGTTACGTTTTTATATTGAAACATTCTTTTAAATAACTAAATTGTACGTTCATTTCAAAATTTTCGGCTATCTATTTCCACCTAAACGTACGAAACAAGATATAATCTTAAAAGTAAAGTTTGAATAAGGATTTAAAACGAGAAACAGAGAATTACAAAGTCCCGTGAATCCAGCTTTAATCAACCATATCTTACCTTTTTTTAAAAAAAGAAAAAAAAAAAAAAAGGGAAAATGACATTGGAGTAGAAGGAGGGAAGCATGTGTAGTGGGCAACACAAATCCAATCCTTTGTCACTATCATTTTTAATCTTCTCCAATTGTTAATAAACATCATGGCTTTACCCCATTTGCTAACCCTAAAAAGCCCCACCTTCAATTTTCCCTTTTTTTTTCTAATTATTATTTTCCTCCATTTTTGGCTGCTTCTGGAGATTATCCCCTTTCTCCGGAGAAATAGTATCAATTTCTATTACCATCCTTCAAAAAATATATAATTAATTTTTTTTAAAAATCTATATCATATCCAGAATATAAAATAATATATACAAAAATTTCAACGTTTATCATCCTTGAGTTTTTTATTTTATTGAATCGTCGTTTATCTTGAACTTGAACAAGTGTTCTAATCTTTACGTTGAAATTTATTTATGGAGAAAATTTGTAAATAAAAAATGTAATATTTGTTGAGGTCTGAATTGAAGTTTGAAATTGATCCCACATTTGTTGTAAGATTCTTTATTCTTTCTATTTGATCTTCTTCTGATACGTCTAGTTTGGTGGCTCGCTATCGTAATCATAAGCATATGGTTCTCATGGTTTTGAAAAAAAAAATTATCCAAATAAGTTATCTGTAAGATGATAATTTAGAAAACGAGATAATTTTAAATTTTATGGCTCAGATTGTTCATGGTGCAACCGGAATTCATTTGCATGTTCTTCATTATCTGCTGGTGTTCATTACAGAAATGAAAATATGAGCTGTTCATGTTCATCGTGTATTGCCCACAACTCAACTATTATACAACTCAACAAGAGAAGATTCTGAAAAGAAAAGTTCTTGGAATTTCCTTTTCATGAGTGTTTTATGCATAGTTCAATCATTGTTTCATACTGGGTCCGGCTGAAGTTCATGAACAGCCACAAATTCTTTGTCAAGTCGCCTTGCACTCAACAATTTTGAAGAATTTGAGCCACTTGTTGTTAACTTTGATTGGAATTCTTTTCTGGAATTTCCCTTTGTTCACACAATTTTGGGTAACAAAAAGGATTATATTTTGTGGAGGTGCATGTAAGGCGCCTTCAAGCACAACCCCATGGCCTTGGTGGTCCGTCCTTGCTGGTCCAGGGTCTAGGCCTTGGGAGGGAATTCACATGCCTCCATCTCAAATTTGCTCGTTGCTCAGGAGAATGGTGATCCTCACGTTTTGGACAAAGCGGGAACGATAGGTCACTCGTACGTGTCTTTTGAGTAGTCCGATTCAAGCATTCAGCATGAAAAATAATGACACGTATATCAATACTTCTCACGATTCTGAGTCGATTCCATAGTGATCTCTGTTAAAGATATCTTTCACATAGCCCATATTTGAATTCATATGTGAGAAGATTTCACATAAACATTCTTTATAAGAGTATAGAAACCTCTCTTTAGTACACGCGTTTTAAAAACCTTGAGGAAAATCTCAAAGGGAAAAACCCAAAGAAGACAATATCTGCTAGAGGTAGATTTGAGTTGTTGCACCGTGCATGATACTCGCATGATACTCTAAAAGATTGATTTGAGTGGCTCGGACACATCAGCAAAATCAATGCTGCTACTTGCACTGCACCATTGTTGGGTGTCTCTTTGGAGAGTAGGAGAATCAAACTCTGCACCAAATTAGTAGATTCAAAAGCTTCTCCAGAGGATGTTTGCATAGGAATGTCTAAAGGATGAATGGGTTTGGGCATGAAAGAACAACAACTCGTGCAGTTCCAATTAGAGGATGAGCATAACTTGGCTGTGGGTTCTGTTTTGCTACTCTCTGAATATGAGAAAGTAGAGCTCCCACAATCAGGATTTTCGGAGGTACCCTGCAAAGTTCAATGAAAACAATTTATAATGTGCTAGATTTATGGTAAACCATTGCACCAGGGAGATGATACAAAACTCAGTACATCTGTCGCGGGCCAAAAGGAAAATGTACATTTAACAAACACATGGTGAAGTTAACATAATAAGTTATAGTCACATCAATCCAACAGTAGGAAGGCGCATAGGCACATTTAACGAACACATGATGAAGTTATGAGGTGCTGGAAATAGCTGAATCAGGTAAAGACCATACACTTAAAGCAAATAAATGATGATGAGAAGGACAATGTGAAGACCTGAACAGCATCAAATAACCAAAATCAGAGGTCCACAGGCTAACTTAACGACTAAACATAGAAGATTGAAGGCGAAATAGACAAAAATCCATAATAATTTGACACACAGTGGATACATAGGTAAAAGTAAAGCACTAGAGATAAAAAGAAAGCTAACCTCAGCATCATACGATTTCATGCCATTAGCCAGAACCGCATAGAAATCCTCGTACTAATCTGGCTTAGGAGGATGAACACTGTTCTAAACAGCCAATTCACAACAAAACTAATAACTTAATCATGTGGGTCTTTTTTAGGTAAAATGTGAGTATTGATCTAGGGAGAAAAACCCATCAGTCTTCAGTATGCTTCGAAAGAAGTTACGCACAGCGTAATCAGAGGATGAATTAGCAAAAGCCATTGAAGGTCATATAAAGGGGAACTGTGATGGTGACACTATCTTTAGATTGCTCCCCATTGGCGCTTCCGGACTGCTCTGGTTTAGGTGTCGCATGTTGGAAAGCATTGCTTTTGGGGAAGATGGCTGGACTCGGTGGACAGGGGTAAGGATCATGTTGCTTCAATTTGATAATCAGTACCGAACCCAAAAGCTTATAGTGATGGATTACGATAAACTTACTCTCATATTAGTACGTCAAATAGGTAGAACGAGCAAGAAATGCAGAACAGGAAAACCTGGTGGGTATAAATTCTGCTTATATATTTACTGTATAATATATGTATTGAATGCATTTGGGCCAGAAAGAGCCAGTTATAAAAGACTAAATAATTCTCGAATGCAATATAAGGATTGAATTCATAACCTTTAAAGCATAGAAAGCATTACATCATCCCACATTGCATGATCAATCATAACAAGTGAAGCTTAAAACTCAGCATGTTTCACTTATTGGCCGATATCATTCAAGGACTGCTGAATGCAGCTCGGTCTAAGAGGATCAAGTTGTTTCGTCCAGATAGCTATTCCTTGCACACTTTAACCTCAGAAACGTGGTCATTGCAACCACTTTCTATTGTGGATTGTTGAACCTCTGCAGCAAGGTCGATATTGCCTTCATTCCCTGTCGAGTGCAGGAAAATGAACGCCGCATTTATCATTTCCTGTTGTAAATCAGAAGCCTTGGCAGTAAAAAGGAGAATTTGTGGCTCATACCTTCACCGCCATCGGAAGGAGCATAAGCCGAGCGCCTTGAACGGACTTGCTGCTGTGGATTTGGCTGATTATGACAAAATGGTAATAAAAACGTCAGCAAATATTACAAACAACATAATCACAACATATGAACACAGTGAAGTACACACATTCCATGCGAACCGATGCTTTATTTTTCATTCATTTCTCTACAAAAGAAGGAAAAGTACATGCCCAGGACAAGGGGCTTAACAAGTCTCAAACGACAATTTGTTACTAAAGTTCCAAGTTGTTTTCTGGAAGACCAATTAACCTCACATTAAAAAAAATTGGTACATCTTAGCAAGTCGGTGGATTCACTATTGGTAAGTAGCTACTAGACTATTATTAAAGAGCAAAAGTTTACCAATTTATACATTTAAAGATTACGTACAAATATAATGAACAGACAGAGATACCCCACTATTATTAAACATCATGCACCTGCAACTTTGGCCTGAGTGCTTCAAGTGGTCCTTTAGGTTTTTGAGCTCCTCCTTGCTGTTACAGAAGTCAAAGGAGTACTTAGGCAAGACAATCGCATCAAATTTGGGACACCCAATCAACGTAAAAAATAAATTGTAGTCCACATATTTATATCTTAGTATCCAACGAGCAGTTTAAAGTCCTAGTAAAATCTAAATGAGCACCTTCCCTAATGCCCAATCAGCAGAATCGAAGAAGGCACGTTCATGGTCCTAGACAAAAGGAACATTTGCAGTTGTCAGCATAGAGGACTTGGATCAAAACTAATATCCCACAAGAGTAACTTAAAACACAACTAATTATTACTTTTGATATCAAAGGAGGCTTCTTTGGCACAATTCCTCCGTACTTCTTCTTGATGATCTCCTCCTGTTTAAATCCATTATCAGACTGTTAAAACAAAAGCCACAAACCTTAGTGACACCACAAGACCAACAGTTTCTAGAAAGTTGGGACAAATTCTCGCGCTTACACACATGCAGTTAAGAACAGGAACCAAGACAGGAAAAAGAAACATTTTTTTTCCCTTGCCTCATGAAGGCTATTTTCGTTCATCTTTTCCCCTTTAAGGTTAGCTTTATGCAAAGGCAAGTAAAAGCTGCTCACACATCCAAATCTTGGCACAAAAATCAGAGATTTTCCTGTCTATCTAATTTCATACAAGTTTCGTTCTAAGGACATTGATGACACTAAGAAAACAGGAAATAACTAACATTACATTTCATTCTCCAATGACAGACTCATACAAGAAGAGCACACCATAAATACAGAAACAGCACTAACCTCTTGCTGCTGTGAAGGCATAGGATTCTTCTCTTTCTCATCTGGACATTGTATTTCTTCCTCAGATTTGTCACAATGAGCCTCGATATTTTTTTCTGACATTGTTCCCTCGTCGTTACAAAAACTATAGGTGAAAGTGATGGGTATATAACTGCAAGCAATAAAATAAGTCAAAAAGGTTGCTAAAAAATCACTTCCCTGCAATCACGGTCACCGCTCAAATACTGTAATAACATTCCCTTTGACAGAGAGCGCTTCCAACGAAAATGCTGTCATTTCTAGAAAATTTTACTGAAGCACCTCAAGATATGCATTCGGGTCAAAATGAATTCAAATGATATGCTTTCCAGTAGCCGGAATGAGGTAATTGGTCTAGGTGCCGGACTTTACCGATTGGTATGATAAAGTCATTTATTTCAACCAAATACGAAACATAGGAGAAAACAACAACGAGAAAGCTTCTTGCATACCATTATTGACAGAAAAAAAAATATAAGTGCCTCAAATTGGAATAAATCTTTTGAGTTATGACGCTCTGTCAATCGTACAGTTTCCACAATGATCCATTTAAACACGAATTTAATCAAACCCAAAAAGAAGTCCGAATTCAAAACTTTCAACCCATTATCCTTGCCCCCAATCTAAACAAAACTAATCCGATTCATTAATGGAGCCAAATCTAACCAATGCGGACTTCATCAGCAAGAAGCAATAATCATATTTAACATAGAAATTAGCTTCCACAGACCTAATGAAACAAATGAACAGTGCCAATACAAGCAAAATCTAACCAACTTGTCACTCATTCAATTGAAGATTGTTGTTCAATTACAGGATCCAAAATCAGAAGAATGCATCGATGAATGACTTACGTTACCGGAAATCAGATCGCAATAAGAAAAGATGAATATATTAGAAGCGGAGGATCCGAGGACGGATCAAAAGCAAATCCGGCGTAAACAGACTGTTTCTCTTCCTCTGCCTAAATCCAGTCTGATGGAACAGTGTTTGTATGTACCAACCGAACAGAGCGCGGGGTTATCGGCGTTGCTTCTTGGGCCGCATGATCTGGACTATTAGTCCATTATGATTATTGGGCTTTCCATTTTGGGCCCACGTGGGTTTTATGAGAACACTCCCATTTTTTATTCATTTCTATGATATTAAATTAAATAATTATTAGGTTAAATTAATAAAAATACCTTTTAATTTTATACAAAATTTAGATATTCTTATCCATTTAGCCTAATTATTAAATAAATTTAGTCAGCAAAACTCTTTCCAGCTCAAATTTATTCTATATTGTTTATGAAAATAATTACAAAATAAATTAGGTCAATACCTTTAACAAAATAAAATCGTAATAAATATCGTTTGGACCATTTTCAGAGTCAAATTTCACTAAATGAAAAATTAATTAATAAAATTTGAAGGAAAGGTAAACGCTCGCCTACTTCTTAATTTGGAGGGGACCTCACAAACTTAGTGTCAATTAATTAATATTAAATTATGATTCGCTTTTGCACCATCATTATTTTTTTCTACTAATATTTAGAATTCATATTTTTCACAGAAATACGAGTGTTCAAGTAGCCAATGAATTAATTAGTTCTGAGAGACATTATATCTGACCATTATCCAACTCATTATATCTCGTTTATATAATTTATTTTTTAAAATTTATATCAATAAAAGCATTGTTATTGATTGAAAGCAAACGAAGTTTGTGAATTCTTCCAAAATAATTAAATAAAATAAAATATTAAGATATGATGGTGGCTCGTGTGATCCACCAATAAATTAATAAACTAACCAAGAAGCTAAATCATGTTTCCTTAACTTAGCCCACAGTTTAGAATATTTTAAAAAAATAAAACTCAAATTCCACTAGTTTAGGCGATGATTAGTCAATAATTTAATAATTAAGTGACTAATTCCATTCAACCTTGTGATGTATTCCCTCTATATTTTCAACTTTTTTTTATAAAATTAAAAAATAAAAATAAAAATCCCATTTTTCATACAAGTTCGTTCTTCATTGCTTTCCACGCGCCTCTTTGACCTTTTTAACCAAAAAAAAAAAAAAAAAAAAATTATGATTATCTGTCTCTTTGTTGTTAGCCGACTTGTCGTTTGGGATAAGCAACACCATGTCGAATGCCGATGGGTTTCGTGTAAGAATTGGCGTACACAAATAAAAACAAAACCACATATTCTTGATGGCAGCCATACCCTACTTTAATTGTATACAGCTTCCGAATCTTTATCCTTTCTCAAATTAATGATTCTAATACACATTCCAATTCGTATTGGCTCTCCACGTGAGAGGTCAGAGGTTCGAATTCCACCGATTAAACTAAAAAAAGCTTTAGAATATCTTGACATTCAATATATATGGAAACTGTGGCTTTAAACAAACAGTATTCACAATTTTTTTCCTGAACTAATTGGATCTATTGCTTTGATGGGTTTGATTCTGGGAGCTTTTTTTGTTTTTTGTTTTGTTTTGTTGTTTGTTGTTTGTTGTTTGTTCTTGTTTCAGCGGCTCAAGGCATTCCAATCGTAGGCAGGATTGAGGAAGAAGGGTTGGTTAAAATCTGGTGTAGCAGAGGAGTAGTCGAATGGCGTTGCTCCTTGCTCTACTTTGCCGACGTTTGTATGGGCTGCAGTGCTTTGAAACCCAAGAGTTGGGTTAGCACTTGAATTATCATTGAACAGCTGAGAAATGGGGCCCAAATAATCCAAATCCAAGAGATGGGTTATGGAGAAAGTCCTTGGAAACTTCATCATTTGTTGTCCATTGCCTTCTCCTACCTCGTTTTGTGCTGCTAATTCCTCTGTTTTTTCCTCTGATAACCCCTTGTTTGAATGCCTCTTCTTGTAGATTCTACATAGAACCCAATCATCCAGCTGAAACACCCACAAAACAAACACACCCCATTAATGTTACTGTCTGATCTTCAACAAATTTCCAAAAGAGATTCTTGAAGACTTACCCTCATGGACCCTGATTGCTTGATTGATCGCTTGTTTGATTCAATCAAACGATACTCATGCATGATCCAATCAGTCTTCACGCCTTTTGGCGGCTTCCCCTTGTAAAAAACCAAAGCTTTCTTCACTCCGACATACTTCGATGCGCTGTATATCGCCTTATCCGTCCCGGTCGCCTTCCAGTACCCGGATACCGCGGCACGATTGGGGCGAACCCCGTTCGGGTACTTTCGGTCTCTTGGGCTGAAGAAGTACCACTCATTTTCACCTGAATCAGCCTTCTCTGCAAGAGTTGATTTGAAAGATGAGTAGATGAGCAAAATAACATAAAAATATAAAGGGAAGGGTGTGGAAAGTAACCAGGCAAATCCCAAGGATCGAACTTGTAGATATCAACTTCGGGGATTATGGAGACAGGACATGGGTTGGAAGTGGCTTGGTTTCTGAGGTAAAACATGATC